ATTTTAAAAAGAAATAACAGTAGTGCATAGAAAGTCAGGTCTTTCAAATTTGGGTTTTGACTCAACAAATAGGGTAGTGAAACAAAATTATTTTAATCACTGACTTAAATTCAAAAGTCTCAATGCATTTTACTTTTAATTCTCACTATATTCCAAAATAATTTGGAAAGACTTCAACCCAAATGATGAAAATTAGTTTTCTCTTTTCTTAGCAAATTAGGATGTATATATAAAGACCAATCCCATAGCCTAGTGATGAAGAGAGTCGATCCCATTTGGCCAACTGCAATTGAAGTCCCAGTCTCAACAGCTTAAAAACATGCTGAGTGTGTATGAATGTGTGCCCCACATCCTGACAGGATGGAGAAATGGAGAAGGGATTTCAGCGTGACCATACCCCATTAGAGGTACTTTCTACCTCTCCCTCTGTCTCTCTCTCTCTTTGGCTAGTGCACATGAACTCTGGCAATTAAAAAGGGGAGTGGACCAGCATGTGGTGTGGAGGTTAAAACACTGGATCCTACATGGACGACTCCGGTGTTTGTGTCCAGATCCAGTCTCTTGAGAATCACACCAGGCATATACATGTGCATGCCCAAAATCCCAAGAGGAGAATGTAGAAGAAAGAATTATGGCCTGGCCATCCCCCTGGGGAGAGAGCTCTCACTTTCCCTCTCTCTTTCTGTGTGTCTCTCTCTCTCTCTCTCTCTCTCTCTCTCTCTCTCTCTCTCGTGCAAGCCAGTGCATGTACCCTATAGCAAAAACTTAAAAAATAAAAAAATATAAACATGGATATAATTATGTATCTCCTAATTTTTAGACTTAAACATGTTACGTGTCAGAAGCATTTGGAAAATTATCTATAAAGACAGAAGAAACAAAGCACATTTTTCTCTGGGTAAATTTAATCTCTTGTTTCTAGACCCCTTTGTCTTAACTAGGTCTTCTTAATAAAGAGTATTAGCATGAATTTCAGATATGCATTTTTATTAATGCTCTGAGGGTTTTTTCCCCCCCCCTGTAATATATATACCAATCATGAAATCAATCGGAATCATAAACATCCCAAAGGGGACACTATTTAAAAATGCCCAACAACCAAGGCTTCTGTTGTTCAACAAGTAGTACAGTCCCCTAGACACAGCTGTGATGTTGCTTACACAGCCTACAGAACACTTCTAGGGCCCTCTTAAACAGAAGGCTCCATTGGGTCTTCCATGGGCTCCCCCTCCCCAGCAGGCCCAGCCCGGCACAGTTGCCATAGATGGCCATCAGACATTGGAATGACATCAGGAGACACTCTGAGCGGGCTCTGCCCTAAAGAATTTAAGCTAGCAGAAGACTGAAGATATCAATGTCTTCTTGGCCGACAACAGCATTCCAAAGGTCACCCAGGGTGAAAAGAGGATGGCTTGGGGTTTCTAGTGTCAAGCAGCTAAGTATAGGAATTATTCCTCACAAAAAAAAAAAAAAAAAAAGAGGAGGGGGGAAAGAGACAAAGGAAGCCTGAAAGTATCTGAGAAGCGCCAGGCCTCTGAAAGGCAACTAAGGCAACCTATACCCCATCAGGTTGTAAAATGGTATTCCTGGAGATTGCTACCTCTTCAACGGAAAGCGCAAGAACAGTTCTCACCCTGAACCAGTTCTCACCCCTCTGGTGACCTAATTCTTTCTGTTGTGATAGACCAGAAATAAGTGAATATAGAACCCAATGGTACTGAGGTGGAAATTCTTTGCACGAGATTGAGAATGATTACTTTTACTGCGGTTGATCCCATCTCCAGGCCGGCGCTTCCAGCACTTTGTGTTGAACAGCTCATTCAGTCCTCACAGCAGTTTGCAGGGCTGCACATCATGTTCCCTAGTTTACAGATTTACATTTTTCAGAGGAATGGGAGGCACCGGGAAGTTCAGTGACATGGGCATAATTGTGAAGTTACCACATGACACAGCCGACTGGTTCCTGGCCACACAGCCTCTTACAAGTCAGCCTGGCCTTGCCGGCACTCAGTCTTACAGAGGCTGTGGCCCTCTACCAGTCTGCTGGCACTTCAAGAATGGAAATATTCTCTTCTGGGGTACTGGAATTCAGGGAGAATGGAAGGACATTTTCTACCATGAACCATACACAAATGGCAAATTAATAAGAGACAGAAAGACAATAACTTAAATATGGATTAGTTAGGAGAAATCCAAGTTTCTTTTGTATTTAGGGCACGTGTGCTCACCAGAGAGAGAGACAGAGAGAAGGAAAGTAAGAAATCATCCCCACAGAGTACGGCCAAGTCACAATCTCTTCTCCATTCTGTTCTCCTTGCCTCTTGGGATTTTGGACACACATGCACGTGCCTGACATGATGTGACAACAGGACTTGGACTGCATTCTGTCCTGTAGGAGTCCAGTGCCTTACCCACCATGCCACCTGCTGGCCCCAAATCCAAGGTTTTTAAATATTTTTTATTGTTATTATTTTTAAATCATTTAGCATTCATGAATACCCTTATCTGAACACTTAGTGGTCCTTAAGTACTGATTAAGTTAAAAGCTAATTACCAACATTTCACGCCCAATGCATAATAAAAAATAGAGAACAAACATGGAAAAAAAAAAACCTGTTGAAGCTAGAAAACCTGGGCTTTGTCTAAATTTTTATGATTTACTCTGTCGCTTTACATGTCTCAGTGTAAACTATAATTAATTTTTGTTCATGTTAGTAACATGTCTGGTGTAATTCCAACCTAGTAATACCATAATTGATGTATCTGATGATATCTTTATCAAATTTGAGGAGGATTATGCTTTGCTAACAATTCTCACCTTATGTAATACCTCTTTCTTCCCTGACTTTAAGCATGCTATCTAGCTCTTACTTTAGAATAATAATTCCATTTCCTTGGATATTTTTTTTTAAGTAGAAGATGGTGCCATGTTATCCCAATTAGTATCTTAGAAAAGACATTAAATGAATCAATGACATTACCAATAATGTATTTTTTTTTATTTGGGGGACAGTATCATTCCTCACGCAACTTACTTTACTTACTTTTATTATTTTTTTTTTCCTGGAGGAATGCTTAGCAGTATTATGTCTTATAAAAGGGTACTCCTCCCCCACATCTTCTGTCAGGTTACATTTCTACAGAGTTAATTTGCCTATCTAATGCTGAATAAGGTGCCCTGATCTGGCACAAAGTGTATTGGACCTGTCAGGGGACTGATCTTTCCAAATTTATGGCCTGACTTTGACTTTGGAGCATCATGTAACTTTTTTAGTCCCTGTGAAAGAAAAAAATAAATAAATAAGCTACTCATCTGAGGTGTTCCCCCAAGATCTCGTTCACCAGGAAGCTACTGAAATTCTGACTTTAAAACTTTTTACACTATTGCAAATGACAGAAATACAGGGACTGCCCTAAGATGTGGATGGTACGAATCAGAAAGCAATTTCTTTCTTTTTCTGCCAACATTTGCTCTCAACTCTAAAGCAGCACCCTCCAGTAGAACTTGATGCAGTGACACAAACATTCAACATGCTGTCCAATAAGGCCCACTAGCCACGTAGGACTAGGAGCCCTTCAGATGTGGCCCATGTCACTGAGAAACTGAATTCTTAAGTTTTATTTACTTTTAATTACCTTAAATTACCACATGTGGCAAGCGGCTACCATGCTGGTAGCAGCTTACAGTGTCTAGAACATGACAGCATAAACACTTTGAACCTTTGATGTTTTCAGCTCAGTTCCCTGCAATGCCTTTAGACCATCCATCATCCCACGATGCCTGGGGCCTTTTGTACGCTCCCCACACAGACCGAGGGACAGTACAGGATCTGCATTTCATAATGACATTTTGGCAAGAGAGCCCAGCACTGTTCCCTCGTGCTCACAAATAAAAAGGGTGCAAGAGAAAAGGAAGTTTTTGTCTCGATTTTTTTCGTGTTTTCTCCCAATAATCCCACTTCCAGTCCTTGGCCTTTCCCAAGGGCAGACAGGTACTGTCCACTGACACTGCTTCACTACTTGAGCTAGCGGGTGACTTTTAGTTTTTTTTTAATACAAATAATTTACTCAATCTTGAGAGCTTGTGCTATAGAATCCACTTCTAGGTCCCCCTTCTTCTCTATTAATCTGGCAGGTAAAAAAAAAAAATCCAGGCTGGCTGGGATCGGATGAGGACCGTGCTCTTGGGCTAGCCATTCTTGCTCAGCCAGGCTTGCAAAATGCTAGACCTCTGGCAGCCTGCGCCGGCAGCCGCGCGCCGCGCCAGCGCTTTGTACCCTTCACGTGGGTGGGTTCCTTTTACTCGACCCTTCGTGTGTATGCGGCTTGCTTGGAGCTCATTCCCAGCTCCTGGGATCGTCTTTTCGCCAACCTAAGGGAAATACTCCTGGGATCCCAATCAGACCAGTGGAGAGCTCCCCTAACACCGACACCGCCCATTTCCGAGCTTCTGCACCGCC